TCAACAAATGTTATCTATCATTGTTATTACCAAAATAGAAAAAAGTATGAAATTGATTCTGATTATTCCAATTCTTCTTCCAGAATTGGCAGAGAATTCGTTGTTCTGTGCTTAATTTAGTTGCTTTAGAAAAAGGCTCAGGCCATTCATCCAGGACATTCATTTTTGTAATTTCCCTCCAACAATTTTCTTATTTGTTTTAATTGCTAGGTTTCTGGATTAGAGGAAATAATAATGCTATATGTCGGTGGCACGATATCACGTACACACGAACACCATGCGGAGAGAGGCAAAGCAGTTCTCTGTCTATTGATTCTTGTATAAGGGTTTATATATAACATGCATGATGCTTCACATATCATCCAAGTTATAACAATGTTAATAATCTTAAGTTATTTAGGTTCCCAGGCTCCTGCTGTAAGCACAGGATGTTACATGATCAAGGACAGATTGTTTGAAAGTTCGTCACAAAACTTCATTAAGTAGGCCGTCTCTTATCCAGCCGGCTGTGCCTGTCTAAGGTTGTCCTCCTCTGAGGACCTTACCCATCATTGGCTATCCAGCCATCCATACTGGATACATTAAATAGGCCATCTCTTAGCCAGCTGGCTACGTGACGTTTCTCACAGCTTGTTTATCAGTTCAGCCCATGGCTTAATCTCTAGGGCCTTCAGGCGGGGGCCTACACTATATCAAGGGCTTTTGTGAGAAAAGATAACACAATGCATGTGAAAGTGCTTTATAACTGCTACATGTTGTAAAATTACAAAATATTGTTTTAATATGCCTAAATCTAGGACCCTGGGTAATGTAAAAACACGGGGGTGGGGGTCAGGAGTGTGTCTGAATTACAAGTGTGGTTCAGCCACTGGTGGGTGATATTGGGGATATCACATCGACACTGTAGATTTTGGTTTCCCATTGTCAGAATGCAGATTAAAAACACACACTGAAAATGGACACAAAAAGGATTGCTCAAAATTGCAGGTGGAGCTTGTGTATTGATACAGGAAACAATGTGGGGTGAGAGGATGGCCACGTCCCAGGTCTCCACTGAGTCTCTGGGATGTGCCCTGCCAAGTGTGGGTCCTTGACTTCGCACAGGAAAGAATTCAGGAGCGAGCCACAGTTGAGTAAAGGTAATTTTATTCAGAGAGACACATACTCCACTGACAGAGTACAGGTTATTTCAGAAGGTAAGAGAAAGGCCATGTAGTGTGGGGTTTAGGTACTCAGTTTAAAGTAAAAGTGGATACACACTCCACAGACAGAGTGTGGGACGTCTCAGAAGGCCAGGGAGCGAGATGCCAGAAGGCTTGGGGGCGGGTGTTTAGTTTAAGGTACAAGTAGTCACACACTCCATAGGCAGATTGTGGTCCCTCTCACTCAGAAGGGAGAGTGGCCGTGAGGTGCGGGGGTTGTTAGTTTCTATGGGCTCAGTGGCTTCACACATTAACAAGTGGGAGGAATTGGGCTACTGCCCACTATTTGACATTTTACAGTCAACCTCGAAGCTGTCATGGCACCTGTGGGAGTGCCACTCACCATGCTAATATATTACAATGAGCATATAATGAAGCTCAAAGTCTACTGGGAGTTGAATCTCCCACCATCTTGGTATTAATTGCTGTCATTCCTTGAATGGCTGTGCCCTGCCCTCTTTCTTCCTGTCTCATTATCATTTGCCTAAGCCTCATTAAATGACTGAGTTATCATTAATAAAAGTCAGGAAAGAGAGAAAAGAATTTGTTAATGCCCCAGATGTGTTGAGGAATTCCTCTGAGCTGGAGAATGAAAAGGACCAAGACTCTGGAGAGATATGAGTGCAGGAAACGACCATCTATAACACAAGAGTGCAATGTCCGCTAGAAGAGCATGCAGGGCAGAATGAGTCCAGAGTCAGCAGACAGACAAGCTGGAGTAAACCCAGCTCAGGCCTGTTACTTGTCAGAGCTGGATTATGCAAGCTTGGCTGGTTGACCTTTGCTTCTGTCCTGATTTTTGCTAAGCATTTTGTAAGGGTGAATGTTACTAGAGCATAAGGCAGTTGGGGGTTGGGCATTGGGGAGGGGAAGCAGCTGAGAGCTCTTGACTCTTGGAAGAGTGGAGGGTCTCACACAAAGACAGCAAACTTTTGCCACAACTTGTAACATTCCAGTCCCCCCCCCCCAAAATACCAGGGGCATGGAAGAGTAACTTTTTTTTAATTCTGAAGAGGAAATCTCAAAGATAAAGAGAAAACCAGGAACAATCAAAGAATTGACAGGGAAAGAGGCATCATACTCAACTGGGGGATGAATTCACACCTGCTGAAAGAAATAGAGCAGTTAGGTTAGAAAAAGCAAATTGTGATATTTTAAGTTACATTCATATAGAAGAATCAACTAGAAATTAAATATTGGAATTTTGAATAAAAATCTCGGTAGATATGTCAGCAGATAGAGGGACCCCCAAACTGGAAAGCCCACGAACACGTGGGCAAACCTCCCCCAAATGTGTGGGTCCTTGCCTGCCGACTGAGAAGGAATTTTCAGTAGAGGCAGAGAGACAAAGTTGGGGTGGGGGGAGGCTGCTTTAATTCTGCAGAAAGAGAGAAAAGGAAAACACTCGAGTGGGGAGCCGCCAGCGAGGTAGCCGGTAGAGGCAGCTCCAGCCCCTGAGCAGGCTGCAGGGTCTTTTACTGGAAGGCTCTGCCATCATTATCTTCACTTCAGTGGTGTCAGTCACGCTCTATTACTGGCTCTTTCCTCCTGTGAAGCTCAGCCCTGAATCAGAAGCTTCAGTGGGAGAAAGAGAACAAAGAAAGATACTGGGGTGTGTCCTTGAATTAATGCAGCAACTGCGGGACATAAATCTTCCTGTTGCAGGACTATGTCCTTGGAATAAAGAAGCCAGCTGTGGGATAAGACAAATGTCCTGCCTTTCATCAACCTGGCACTTTCTTCCCCTGCTGGAAGCCACTCAGGGTCAGTAAGCCTGTCTGTCTAATCACCTCTCTCAGATGGACCGAGCAGCAAAGTGGACAGAGTTGACAGACAATTGGAAAGTTAAGAAGTTCTGGCAGAAGGTAGACTCCCAGAATGTCACACAGAATGAAAATGGGGTGGAAAACACGAAAGAAAATGGAAGAGAACTGGATGACATTGACAAGTTTGCACATTCATCTAAATGGTATTTCAAAAAAAAAGGGAACAGAGCAAATGGAGTGATGGAAACAGTGTAAAAGGAGGAAAAGGAAAGAAGTGGCAGAAACAGCAGAAGACACAGCAGATTTTCCAAAAGTGAGGAAAGACTTAAGATGGAAATAACTCACTGAAGACTGAGTGTGAAAAGAACTCATTAGGTATATCACTATGAATCTTCAGAGCACCAAAGATGAAGACAAGATCTTACAAGGCTCCAGAAAGAGGGGGTTGACTGGTTGTGTTCAGAAAAATAAGAATCACGCTGACTTCAGACTTCTCATTAACAGTCCCAGATACTTAGCAAACAGAGACATGATATCATCAAAGTTCTCAGGGAAGGTCTTAAACCTGTAATCAGAAAGATAAGCAGAACAGTACTCAGTTAAAAGGATAAATTAAAGAGAATTTTTTAGCATACAACAACTTGGGACATTTAATACACAGAGATTCTCTCTCTTTTAAAATGAGGTATAATTAACAAACACTCAGATCTTAAATTACAGTTCTGTGAAATTGAAACAAGCTTGCACTCACGAAACCTGAATCCCTTTCAAAAAATAGAACAATTCTATCACCTCTGAAATTTTTTTCATGCCTCTTGCCAATCTATAGCCCTACCAGAGGCGACCACAGGTGAGATCTCTTCAGGGATTAACTTTTCAGGTTCTTAAACTTCACAAAATTAGTGTCATATATTGAGTACTCTTTTATGCCTGGAATTTCCATTTACCAAATGCCTGTGAGAAGTATCCATGTTGTTACATGTGTCAGAGTTTCACTCAAGTTATTGCTGAGTTTGCATGATTTGCTGGGAGGAATGTAAAATAAAATTTATTCATTTTGTTATTCCATTATGTCCCATCCTATATGGGTATGATCTGCTCACAGGCAGACCCATCTCACAAGAAATAGTTTCATCAATACTAAATCCCAATATTTTACAATCTGACCTAGAGAAAGACTGAAAAAGACTAGCTTAGTAAATTCTGTGCTGTCTTTAATAGGAGCAGGTTGCCTTTCCTCATCAGTTGCAAGATCTGTCCTTACGTGAACTACAAGCGGGTGATTCTGGAAAAGAAATCCATCTGACTACCTTTAGATAATGTTTTACCATGAATTTGTTTTTCTTGAATACCAGGAATCCCAAATTAAGGCAAAACTTTATCTAACATTGTGGCTTGAGCAGAATCACTTTTGTACAAGGAGCTAGTTAGGAATGGCCACCTTGAGTCAACATAAAAGAATTTGGTGAGGAAGTTTGTAGGAAAAGCTCATATAGTTTTCTAGACCGTGTAGGACTGTGTACCATGACAACATGTCATCTCTTTTGGACATTCTTCTCTTCATTGTGTCCCATTAGAATGATCAGATCAAAAGGGGCTGGATCTTTAACCACGGGGAAAAGGTATTTCACTCAGTATTTTGAGAGACACATTTCCATATGCAGCTTACCTTACGTTGGGGTGATTTTGTTTTGCTTTGTTTCATTTAAGAAACATTAATGTACATTTTATATTTGTCAGGCACTCACCTAAGCATGTCACAAATGTCAGCCCATTTAACTTAAAAAAACAAAAACCTAGTAATAGCAGGCAATATTAGTCACCTCATCTATAGAGGCAGAACAGAGGCACAGAGAGATCTGATAACTTGGCCAAAGACACACGACTGGTAAGTGGTAGGATCAGAAGCCAAACACTGTGCTCAACCAGACTCCCAAACGTGCAGAAGTAGCAGAACATGTGACCCAGAGGGAGGGACTGTGTGCCGCCGGACTCCACACCAGCCAACCAAAGCTTCTCCCCTCTGTTTTCAAAGAGGCAAAGTCTACAATAACAGCTTCAACTTAGCTATTTCTGTAGAAGTTACTAAAACACCCTTTGCAGTCCCTGGCTGTACATGACAGGATAAAGGCAATTTCATATTCTGAAAAGTCTGCTCCTTCTCATTTGTTCTTGGGAATCTTACTCCGTGGAGACAGCTTTGCAGGTGAGGACACATCTCGCTGGAGACAATCACTGCTTTGTGACACTCGCCTCCTTTTTCCCCCACAACAAGGTGGGGAAAATCAAATGCTCTTGTTGGTTTTAGATAGGAAGGGCTCAGCTTATTTATGGACACTTATGTCAAAGGAAAGGGAGTCTATTCGATTAGAAATGATCCATCGCATGTACTGTGTATACAGCAGCTGCACGGGGGGAAAAAATTCTGGGAAGGACTTAGCCAGGTTTCCATTCTGAGCAGATAAATGATACGGAGGGATTTGGGAAGCTGGTGGGTGCGTAGGGAGGTAATAACGTTTGCAAAGAGGTATGCTGATCTGAGTACCATTTATCCAGCCCCCTGTTGTACTAAAATACTATGCAGACATTATTGTATTTGCTCCTTTGGGAGACATTGTAACCGAGGTAGTGAGTTCCTTAGATAAAGTTTAATCAGGAAAGTGAAGTACTCTGTTCAAACACTGAGAGAAAATATGCGGAGAAATAGAGACTAGAATGCAGGCCAGATTGACTATTAATTCAAATCACATGAAAAAGAAAGTGAGCTAAGATTTTATCAATAACTCTATGGCCATAAAAGGGTTTTTAATTTTTTGTTTTCCCTTCTAAATTAATCTTTCTACATCCTTATAATTCTATGTTGCATATTGACCACGTTTTATGCAAAGATTCACATATTCTAATCAAGGACTTACATTCTACACCTTCTCCTTTGATTTTAATATTCTGCCTTTTGTGTGTCATAGTTGTTGTGTTCATGGCTCCCAAAGTGGCATCACACTAACAGATCACAGTTTATGTAACGTTATCCTAGGGCCAGACATCAAGACTGTGTCTTGTTTCTTCCTATTTGTTAATGTTGTTTTATAAAAACTGTTTCTTAGAACTTGTTTTGTTCAACATTTTGGAAACATTTCCAGTAAGGGGAAGGCTAGGTCTGAAGTGCCTACTTTGTGGACTTTGCCCTTTACCACGGCTAAAGGCTCGCACTGAGTGCACAGTTCCACAGCGTCATCGGGTCCCATCCTCCCCTGTTAAATGGGCCTTATTCTGTTTGCTGTTGCTGTTGTTATTTCTCAGTGTGTGCACGTGAGCATGTCTACATGTAGAGCTGTCTCACACTGTGTGCTTTGCACTGTTATAATAATGTTACAACCCTAGAAATTCGGCCTCAAACTCATTTTGCCTCTTCTGCCTCATTTTGCCTCTTAAAAGAAGCTGCTGGATGAAAGGTCACACTTGCCTCCAGGAGTGTTAGATTCCCACAGTCCCGAGACACTCAAGGAGCTGGAGCAACAGGCTGGAGACACTTAATGTTTTTCATAACCCAGAGTGGGGGCGTTACTCCTGATGGCTAGTGGGTGGAGGCCAGGGTTGTTACTGTATGTTCTACAATGCACAGAACTGCCTCCTGCAACAAAGAATTATCTGGGCTGAAATATAAATAGTGCTGAATTTAAGGAACCCTGCTCTTAACTGATCAAAAAATAAAACTCAAGAACGTGTACTAGGAATGAAGAAGGGGACACTACTATAGATCCCACAGACATTAAGAGGATAAGAATATGTCACAACTTTGTGCAATACATTTGACAGCTTAGCTGAAATGGACAAATCTTTCTAAAGACCTAAATAACCAGAAGTTACCAAAAAAAATCTGAAAAATTATGTATTTACTAAAAATATTGAATTGTTACTTGAAACATTTCCACAGAGAAATTTAATTGCAAGTAAAAATATTTACTAGTCCCAGATGGCTTCATTGTTGAAATCAACAAATATTTGAGGAAGAAATAATGCCAATAATGAACAAATTTCTTAAGAAAATAGAGGAGGAAACACTTTCCCAGTTAATATTTTATGACCATAAATATTACTAAACCAAAACAGATTAGAACTTAGCAGAAAAGAAGAATATAAATCAATATCATTCATAAAGACAGGTGCAAAAATAAAGTAATATTTCCTATTGTCATGCTTAAGTGAGAAAACAAATGTTTTTCCCTAATATCAAAAACAAAGCAAGGATGCTCACTTAGTTCCTTCTATACAATATTTTCCTAGAAGTTCTAGGCAGTAGAGAAAGACAAGAGCAACTATTTAAGGCAAATGAATCTCACCTGTTACCTTCTAAGGTTCAGGGACAGATGTGTGGCTCTAGGTCCTATTGGTTCAGCAACTCCTCATTCCTGATTGTTTCTTGTTCCTCTCTCTAGGCTAAGGTACCTGCCAAGATGCTCTACTTGCAGGGTCCACAGAAGCTGCAGATGCTAGAAAAATCCCTGAGGAAGAGCCTCCCAGAGTCCTTAAAGGTGAGCATGAGACATTCTTAGGGTACCAGAGGTTTGCATCTTCCTGATAACAGAGGTGGAAAAGTTCCTTTAAAAACTAACAATGCAACCAGCACACAACCAGCAATTTCAATCCTGAGCATTTGTCCCAGAGAAATGCAAGCTTATGTTCGCATGAAACTATATCCACAAATGTCTATAATAACCTTATCTAGAATAGTCAAAAACTGGAAACAACCCAGATGTCCCTCAGTAGGTGAATGGTTAAATAAACTGCAGTACATTCATACAATGAAATACTACTGAGTGATTAAAAAAAGAGTGAACTATTAATACCTTCAACAACTTGGAAGAATCTCCAAAAAATTATGCTGCATGAAAAAAAAATCTCAAAAGGTTACATGCCATATGATTCCATTTATATAAAATTCTTGAAGTAACAAAATTACAGAAATGGAGAACAGATTGATAGTAACCACAAGTTAAGGAGGAGGTGGGAAGTGGGAAGGTAATGGATATGACTATAAAAGAGCAACAGGAGGGATCCTCGGGGTGATGAAGATGTTCTGCATCTTGAGAGTGTCAGTGTCAATATCCTGGCTGTGGTATTGCACAGTCACAGGTCTCTGTTCTTTACCAAGTTCGCACAGTAAGTTGCCAGGATTTTACTCTAGGCAAGTTAATACTCAAAGCCAAGGACTAACCATTATGCTTATGCACTTGGCACAATTCCCTGGACCTTGATCAACAAAAATTACATATTTCAATTTCTATTATTCATTTTTGTCCAGAACATGCACCCTAACCCTACCATGGGAGTTAGGTTGATGATAGTGACATCTCACTGGTTCTGTGGTTAAAAGAGCAGACTCAGCAAACAGCCTGCCTCGATCTGTGACTGCCTTTCCCACCAACAAGCTGTATATCCATGCTGCATCACTTAACTTTTATATGCCTTAGTTTTCTCATACGAAGTGGGAGTAATGAGCACTTCAGCCTCTTGGAGTTATTGTCAGGATGAGAGGAAGTTATGTTGAACAGGTGGAACAGTGCCTTGCACACAGAGAAGCTATGCAAATATTACCGCTGTTATTATAGATCAGACCATAAATTTACAATGGAGTGAATCATGAATACATCTGTTTCTCTAATTTGAGGCTAATACTTTAAAGACTTGGCATGTTTTTGAGGTGAGCTGAATATATTCACCTTCCTCAACCTTAACCATTTGTAAACCATCCTTCCACTCTGGGTGAGAGAAAGGTAAGCATTCTTCTACAGGTAGACGATCTGTTTATTTTTGTTTACTATAAAAGGACCAAAGAGATAACTGTCACTGATGTTTAATTACTATAGCCTCCATTCATTGGTGAGAAATCATTTACCTTTACTGGAAGATAATTTGAAAACATCTGTTAAAAAGCCTTAAACTTGAAGATAACTTTAGACACAGCAATCTCCCTTCTAAAGACCTTCCCTGAGCAAATATTGGGTACACTTGCAAAGATTTCTGCAAAAAGATATTCTTTGAAGTGTCATTTTTCACATTGAAAAGTTGAAAACACTTAGGGTGGAGCGTATCCGGTATTTTTCATTTTTGTGAAATTTGTTCTGTGTTACATGAATAGAAGGAAATCTATTAAGGATCTTATTATATTATACAATGAGGGATTTCATAATTTTATTCATAAATTTGGTCGGTCTGAATATTTTCTATATGAATATCTTTTAAAGCTATATTTTTGGGGGCAAAAAAGTAGAACTTAAAAAAATGGTCTGCAGAAATTTTCATTAGGTGACTTCCAATCAAACAATTCCATTATTTCATAGAAATAAACTTTGTCTTGATCAAATAATGCCTTTTTCCATCTCTTCCTAATAAGCCAACCTTCTCACCTTCTTGGGACACTGCAGGTTTATGGGACCGTCTTCCATATGAACCAGGGAAACCCGTTCAGGCTAAAGGCCCTCGTGGACAAGTGGCCTGATTTTAATACAGTGGTTATCCGCCCTCAGGAACAGGTAAGGGGCCAAATGAAGAATGAATATTCATCTATGTTCATGTTTACTATGTGCTTACCATGCACTTGTCAATGTGGTAGACCCTAGGTCTATAGAAATGAATCAAGGTGATGGTTAGCAAGCCCTTGGCCTCAAAAGTCCAAAGCCTGGTGGAGACTATAGGAAAATCCACAGATAAATTACAGCATGGTGTGAAATGTGCACAATCAGAGCACAAAGAGCATCCTGCTGATGCTTAAGACCAACCACACTTTGTTATTTCTTGCATCCAGTTTTGGGGAATAGAGGCAATCAGTGTAATGTTATGCTAATTTAAGATTATGTTTATGGCATAGACAAGAGCATGATCTTTTGTTAGAGATATTACAGGAGCATTTCCCAGGCTAGATTCCTACATTATAATCAATCAGACCCTAGTTCCATTTTAAACTCTTAAACTAAGGGAAAAAATATTTCCTACCTTTTAAAAACACCAATTTTGTAACCACATCAAGTCATTCATGCTGATTCAAAACTTCTCATTGTGATATTGTCTTCACATTGACATGCTGCTCTGTATTATAACCTACTGTCATCAATAAAGCAAATAAAATAAAGCAGGAAAAAAACTGTGTGTGATAGAATTGCAGGGAGAGGATCAGAAATGCTTCTTAGTAGAAATTTCACCAAAATTGGATATTGAAAATAAACATTGTACATGGTGGCTGGGCAGGATTGCATTCAAAGTAGAGAAAATAACAATTGCAAAGCATAAGGTCTGAAATAGAATGGATTAAGGAAAATTAAGGAGCAAAATGACATGGTTGGAATTATTGATTACATATTCTGTAATCTTTTATTTAGTTTTTAAACATTTTTTATTGAGTTAAAGTCATTTTACAATGTTGTGTCAAATTCCAGTGTAGAGCACAATTTTTCAGTTATACATGAACATACATACATTCATTGTCACATTCTCCTTTGCTGTGAGCCTCCACAAGATCCTGTATATAGTTCCCTGTGCTACACAGTACAATCTTGTTTATCTATGCTACATTTTGAAATCCCAGTCCCTTCCCACCCCCTGTCCCCCTGGCAACCACAGGTTTGTATCTATGTCTATGAGTCTGTTTCTGTTTTGTATTTATTTTTTTAGATTCCACATATGAGTGATCTCATATGGTATTTTTCTTTCTCTTTCTGGTTTACTTCACTTAGAATGACATTCTCCAGGAGCATCCATGTTGCTGCAAATGGCATTATGTTGTCGGTTTTTATGGATGAATAGTATTCTGTTGTGTAAATATACCACTTCTTCTTTATCCAGTCATCTGTTGATGGACATTTAGGCTGTTTCATTGTATTGGCTATTGTCAGTAGTGCTGCTATGAACATTGGGGTGCAGGTGTCATTTTGAAGTAGGATTCCTTCTGGATATATGCCCAGGAGTGGGATTCCTGGGTCATTATGGTAAGTCTATTCCTAGTCTTTTGAGGAATCTCCATACTGTTTTCCACAGTGGCTGCACCAAATTGCATTCCCACCAGCAGTGTAGGAGGGTTCCTTTTTCTCCACAGCTTCTCCAGCATTTTTCATTTGTGGACTTTTGAATGATGGCCATTATGACTGGTGTGAGGTGATATCTCATTG